AAACTTTTTTTTCGATTAAATGCACAAATTGTTTTTCAATTAAAGAAGAATTTTTGAGCTTATCTTTATCTAGAAGATATATAGAACGTTATAAACCTTTATAGATTGTAAATCATCAAAGAGAACAATGAAAATTGAGATATAATATTAGGATGTAATGCACCCCACGCGAGTAATTATGTTTAAAGAACTCGCGAGAATAATGTAGAGTTAAACGTCTAAATCTCATTTTAGTTTAGAATATTTTACAATTTACGCTGCATGTATACACATTATGAAATAAAGTTATGCATAAGATAAAACAAAAGTTTCGCAGTAAAAGTCAGTAATCAGATGAACAACAAAAAATTAATAATAGAATACTAATTGGTATGCCTATATCATCTGTAAACATATTCGTTGTAAACATAAAATCGAATGGAAATAAAATGTAAATGAAAAAGCAGTGCCAAGTCTTGTAATTCTCGCGTAAATCAATGGCAAATTTTTTATCGATTATTCTATTAAATACATATAATTTAATATACATGTTTAATATAACTTTTTGTTATAATATTATCGTATAACATAAAGCAATATCACAGCGTCAATTATATAACATTTTGTTTAGATATTGGTAAAATCTAAAGAATCGAGAATAAACGCGCTTAAATTCCACGTGACGTTGATGACGTGATGATATGGACTCAAAATTGTCAGAGTTAATTTAACAATTTAACGAAGCACTAAGCAAACTGAAATTGACGACTTTCCTATTTATCTTATATGTAAATTTGGCCTGACTCATCTTATCAAGTCTCGGAAAATATTCTGCGTCACTATGAATAATTAAAATTCGTCGAAATAAATTCTGCGAAATTGGAATAAATCACATTATGTTTCACGCGCGTATTTCTCTTTGCGTTGAAAAAGGACCTTATCGATTACTAAATCGCCGAAACAGTCACACTTGAACAATCCGAATATATTCTGTTGAATATACGTGTAAATGTGCATGTCATCTTTTTTCTCATTTTTATATGACAGATAAAACTCATTAAATTTGCTCACAGCGAATGAATCATCTTCGAAGTAGGAGCAAACAAACTCGATCGGGAATCAAATATCCAACCTGATTAAATGTCACCCTTGTTTTTTCTTTGTGATGCATCTCCGGATTCGTGGCAGCCTTGATCTTTCGTGCTGAGTGACTATTGCTATCATATATACATATATAGAGATGAACGAGACGAGCAAATTACGGAAATTAAGTGCCCTTTGTCACACTTTCGCGACGAGAGATATCTCATCGCGGCGGAGGGAAAAATGAGTAGACGAGTAGAGAATTGCAACATGTATCGTGATTCATTCCTAATGCATTTCAGCGTGTAGCTATAATGTAAGCCGGGAAACAGTGAAATGCCTTAACACGATACACCGTTGAAAATGTTCTTCTAAAAATTTAATCATAATATAAAAAAAATATTATGTATATGTATTAATATAATTATATGTAATATGTATTAATATATTTATATATGCTCAGCTGCGGCTTTGAAATCATCAAAGTACCAACATTTCTTATTGATTTTATTATCTAGCAATACCAATATTATCATATTTCGCTATTCTAATAATTATTTCAACGATTATAAGTATGCATCTTATATTCCATGAATATTATTTGATTATATTTATTACTTTATTTTGTAATCATATTTTTTAACACATTTTATCGGAGAGGTCACTCTTTTCTCAGTTAATATTCAAAAAATTATAATTCAGTAGCTCGTTATATAATTTTCCATTTCGCGGATCTCGCGTGCTTACGGACGACCGTTAAATCGCACGATCCAGCATCGGTCTCGTGATCAAAAAGATGGACCGGACAACGTTTTAACTTCCACGTGGTCCGGCGTCGTACGTGTGCGCGGGCACATTTACGGCATTTACGCCCCTAGGACGATCCCTAAACTCAAATTAGCCTTGAGTTCTCCTTAATCCGTGCCTGACTAACCGTGCGTGTCACGCTCGCTGCATATGTGCGAGCCGGAGAGGAACGGGCGATGAGAGTGGCACACATCTGTAAGCCACAAACGTTGCGGGGGAGAACACAACACCCACCAGTGTGACATACATGGCTGCGTCGTAATCGTTTAAGAGGTTAAAGCCCTGTTTCATACTTCGGGATACATATTTTTCTCCTTCTTCCTCTTTTCCGTTCTTTCTCTTGCGAAAATCTGCGCAGAGTTCATCCACGAGACATGCATGTGCGATTAAGTCGGCACGAGGATAGAAGAAGAGGATAAAGAAGTTCAGTCATCCCTCCCTTCCTCCCATCGCCGGGAATAACATTAATCTAAAATTAACTTATTTAATTTTTACTTAATTATATGGACATGACTCTTGTCAAATTAGAATCATTAAGATCGAATAAATCTAATTTAAAATAATTCACTATAGATATGAATACGTGAAAAGGAAATTTATCTAATTGTAAATTTTATTGTTTTTTTTTTTACTTTTCGCCGTCTTTTTGCAACATCTCATCAGTCATGGTGACATTTTATCAAGATAAGTATATTTTAGTTTTTTTTTACGTAAAGATAAATCTCAGTAAATGCATATACGCAAGATAGTTAACTTTGATTATAACTCGTTCGAAATGAATATTAGTCTTATCATGTTCGTTATCTTGGATATTCTTTCTACATATAAGAGAGACTTGGCTCATTAAATAACATTCGTATACGCTTGTATTGTCGCACGTATACGGTGCTTAGAACGCGAGATCGTGCAGCTCATTGCCATCATTACGCGACAGATGCACAGGGGTATTTAAAGCGACACGCTCGTAAAAATTCTAATTAAACACCCGCCCGTAATATATTGCATTACACAAAGCGGCACACCCGTAAAAATTCTAGTCAAACACTCGTCCGTAATATTGCATTACACAGTTCGTGGTTTCCCTGTCAGGCTTCATTACACGCGTGGTTTCACCCTCGGCGAATGCGCTCCCATGCAAAAGACTGCACTCGTACCGCATAAGCGACAGGAGAAAAAAAAAACGGAGAGAAAAAAAGAGAGAGACAAGCCACCTCGGTCAGAATTCGATTCTCGCGTTTCTATTCTGCGTCTGTGATTCGTCTGACGTATCGAATAACGATTGATTAGAAGTGACCGAGAATCTAAAGTTAAATCTCGATAGATGCAAAAGCTTTACCTCTCTTTTTATCGATACATAAAATTATTAAAGTATTAAAAGTATTAATTAAATTCAATTTAGTTATCCTATAACAAAAAAGATCGTCAAGTGTAATAAATAATAAAAGAAAAATAGATCTAAGAATTCTTCATTTTTTATAAAAGCATTATAAAATATAAAGCAACGAGTATAGTCCAAAAAATAAATTTTTGGAAAATATAAAACAATAATAAGATTATATTATTTACATTTTATTCGACTTTCCTATTTTATGACTTCTCCTCGTTTATAAATATAAATATATCTCTTGATGTTTTTTCAATCGAAAAGAAAGTTAGCTCACAATTTTATAAACGAGATAGTTGCCAGCGAGAATGCAATGCTCGCGATTAAATTAACCATAACAGCGCGCCAGTTTCCGCGAAGTTTCGCGCTTTTAGCTGTTCAGGAAGAATGCGCGGCATGTACTTCCGACTATTCACGGTTTGCTTGCTAATGCAATAACGCCAGACGCGCCAGTTAACAAGCTAACACTTCCTCCCGTGTCGGGCGTAAAGACATGCACATTCGCCGGTCACGAATATTTATGGGGCTAATAAAAGCCATGCCGTGCTCAATTAGCGAAATGGGCTTTAAATACTAGATTCGGCAAATTGGCTATCAGAGACGGAGTAGGCAGTATGACTTGCATCGAGGAAGTAACCGCAAAATTCAATTTTGAAATTCCCTATCCGTGAGAAGGATATATGTCTGATAAAAGGGCAACGATAGCGCGAGTCTTTTCTGAGAGAAATCAACCATGCTATATATGCATGGATTCATAGCGAAGCCGAGTGTATCAAAATCTGAAAATTGTCAAATACGTATAGGTATGCGGATAATCCTCGAGCTCACTTTATGGAATTTCGGTGCAAACGTGAAATTACATTCACGGCGGAAACGCACAATAAATGAAACTTCAAAATTCAATTTACGGGAATTACGTGACAAAATGATTATTTCCGCAATCTTTAATCGCGAATTTCGTAAAGCGCGCGGTACTCGCGTATTGATGAAATTTCTTAATTAATGAAATACTAAGGAGGAACGATTATAAGCTTTTTCCGAAAAAAAGAATAAATTAGTCTCTTCCACGCGGAAGAGAGCAAATAAACTCGACTTGAATATTTGTAGAATTGCTGCATAAATAATACACAATTTCTCTTGTGATGACTTTTTCCTTTTTCATCGTAATTTTTATTAGATAACGAATTTTATATATGGATATCGAGACGAACAAGGATAAGCGAAGAACAAAATAATATATATAGATCGACATAAATGCGAGAAAAGTAATTATTATCTTCCGTTATATCGAGTTTGTATCTCTGTGAAATTAATATCCCATTTTTTAAATTTTATTATTGTATTGTAATATAATTATTAATTAGTTAGTTCTGATTCTTTTCCAAAGAGAGTTCTAAAGTAGCCCAACACAATTCAAAAAGAACTGTCGAAGTTAAAAGCAAAAAACAATTTAAAGAAACGAGACGCCAACTTTACGTTTCTATTATTTGGAAATTGATCTCACGACATTTTTTTATTTTAATCAGAATATCGATTTAAATTATAAGATTTTTAGTCATTTATCTTTTCGGATCCCTATCTTTTGCGCTTAAGAACTCTTTTCGAAATTCTTATCAAGAATTCTCGAACGCTTTAAAAACGAGTAAGCTGGGGAATCGATTGTATCGAAATTCTGAGAGAAAACGGATTAGTGCTTAAATCGCAGAGATCAGAGATAGTTCAAGTACGGTAAGAATCCGGGACTTACTTCCCAACGCCAGGGCCAGATCCACCATGTATATCCAGCGTAACGTTTTTCTGCAAACACTCATGATCTTTTCGGTGCGGGACGCCGTTATGTTGTTGATGTCCTCCACGGTTTCCTCCGCCAACGTTACAGTGCTGCACCTCGTCAACTGCTCTGTGGATCTCTGAAAAAAAAGGAAAGAATTTGTTGAAAGATTGACACACGTTACTTGTGTTAAGACTGACACAGGTTAAACACACACAGCCAGAAATATATGAAAAATACAAAACGTAAGACGCAGTAATACATAGATTAGTTAACAGCGCGCGCATTCTCTTCCGAAATATCATGCTTTATATTACATTTTATTATATAATAGATAATAGCATTATGTAATCCTATATCTCGAATTTCCCTACTCTCGATGCACTATCTAGATTTCTAGATGAACAAATTGATCGGCCGGCTTGATTACGATTTATAATACATCGAGTAAACTATTACCGCTGAAGTCACGCTTATGTGACTTTATATCGAAGTCCAAAAGATGGGGTAAGTTTTGTTAACGACGCCGATGACGCGTACGTGTGTCGACGGATTGAATAACATGATACATGAGTGTTGCTACATGCCGATCCGCGATATACCGGTCGCATCGGTTTTCCACCGCAAGCTGCAGTCGCGCGAGATGCGAGCGGGTTATTTTTTTTTCTTTTTTAACGTGGCGGTGCGTTTTTCGTAAAGTGATCCCCTGTCAACGGATCGTTTCGACAACACGACAACTTAATCGAATTACGCTTCGTCGGAAAACATAAAGCAACTCGTTTCGTTGACCGTATTATCGCTAAATCGGTGTTATCGCTAACGAGAGCAGCGCAATAATTTTCTTTATCATGGCTTGCGTATTAAAAATCGTTAAACGATATTGGGAAATATATTAATAATGTTTTTGTCGCTAATAACAGCGGTTAACAGATCGCAGATGTTGAAAATTCTATCACGCTGCTTGAACGTCCAACAGGAACCAACCTCTTAACGGCTTCTAGCCGCCCTTGGCATACTTGTCGCCCCCAAACATTAAGCTTTGTTATATCTAAATGTTCTAATGCGATATCACGAAACGATGGCTTTACTTACATTAACATAAATATCAATTTTCGCACGATTATACCAGCGTGAGAAAACTTCGGAGTTTTTGAAAAAATCTAAAATTTTAAACGTAAAATTTTAGTAGTATTTTAAACAGCATAATATATTTTATTCACACATATACTATTTTAATATAGTATAATATACTTTAAATTATACTATAAAACTTGAAAGAATGTTGTTCGTTCTCAAAATGAGGAAAACAAGATTTATATTCACAATTGTTCATTTTATATGAAACGGCCAGAGCAATAAATAGATATACCAATAGTTTTATTTTGAATACTGATCAAAATTATTGAAGTAGATACTTTAGCATGCTTGTGAAAATAAATACGTGTAGGTTGAATAGTATTTGATTGTAGGTACCTTCTAAATCTTTAGAAACAGTCGCGTATATAAATAAGGTACCTTGTAGCGGGACAAAGACGAAAATGCAGTCGTTACGCACGTGAATCACTATCGTTCTCAAAGAACAGAAACATTGCCCTTAAATTTCCTGCCACCAACGTCGCAAAGAAATTATTTCGACCACCTGTTGGATCTACGGCTTTCTTTCACGGCCTACTCCGGTCGTGGTATATACGTGCAACTCTAAATCACTTCAACCCGTGTTTTCTACTTCTTGGCAAAACATCGTTCATGAATTCGAATGGATTTGTCGTGTACTTCCGATGAAAAAAAAAAACAACAGGTTGTGAATATGCTTTGACTAACAATAGCGGATGGGGCTAAGTCAAACCCTAATGTCACCTGGATTTAAAGAAATCCCTCTGTGACTCCCCGCTGGTTTATGAATTTAAGTCAGTTTCGGCCCAATGGTATGCACCGGACTTACGAGACTGCTCACCTTTTTTTGAACCCTTAGTTTCAAGCAACATACAGTCCCAGGATCCGTATCTTTTATGGTCTAATGCAGGACAGTGGACATAAAAAAATATAGGACATAAAATGTGTAGGCTGTCCTCACTTTCTGTCCCGCATAATCGGCAATTCTTTTGCTCAGTAAGTTCGAGTTTGAGCCTTGAAGGTCTTGTGAGGTCAATTCCAATTCTCAGTTTGTCTCTATTCATTGCCAAAAATTCCTTCCTACTATTTGACAAAGGATTCTTAGCGGTTTGGATTGTTTGCAGCCACCCACGGCCTCTGATGAGATCAGGTGCTTCTACCCCAAGTGACTCTTCATGGTTTTTTTTACCAACAAAAGAAGACATCGACAATCTGTTCAGCTGGGTCGATCTGAGTTCCTAGCTGTGCCAGCATATCGCCGGGTATGATTTGATTAATTTTACTCGGAAATTGTTTGCTTATACATCCTTAATATACAAGACATCTCGAAAAATTTGCACGAAATCTTGAAGATCTCCGTTTTTAATGAAAAATCCAGAGCGTAATAGCTTTCTTGAATTTTGAACCTCAATTATCGTATAATGTATTGTAATGCTTAAATACAATTTCTAACATTAAGGTCAATTTGAAATTAAGTTAAAAATCGAATTTTGTAATATATTACGACTATTCAATTTTTCAAATTATAAAAAAAAGTTTTTCCATTTTTTTAAATTTAAATGCATGCTTCTCTCTATTCTGTTCGATGTTGCTTAAATACAACGCACATAGCGAAAACGTATAACTTTTAGCTGGCTTTTCCATCGCATTCAAATTTTACTGTAAATTCATCCGCGATGTATTCTTTACAACTCAAACTTTTGCTGTAAATCCAGGATGCAATCTTTCGTCCATCGTAAATAGAGGTAATAATAATCGAGCGTGTTCCGAGCGGAAAATCCGGCGATTAATCGGACGTCGTCGTATAGATTGCGGTGCATCGATTAACGACACTTGTGCTCTAAAACGCGATAATACATCCGCGTTTCGCGGAGGGGGACTAGGTGCGCGCAGCGCGTCCAACTCGGTCATCCACTATGAAATAATTAAGGGGAAAACGACCGCGGGGCCCCGTTGAACAACATCGAGGGGTTTCGCGTGTAACGCGAGGGGGCCAAACGTTGCGTACGCGTCCCTGCGACTTTCTGCGCATCATTTTTCATTACTCGCGTCAATTCGAGGCTCGCGGGTGTCGTTATTCCCCCTTTCCCATGATAAATTTTAATCTTTTTACCGTCCGCCGTATATATTTGCACAATTCCAATCTCGCGCGTGCTATTTCTACATATTGTTAATCATTACATGCGCATGTTGCTCACCGATAAAATACGACCTATGCACGAAATCTTCTCCGTTTTTTGAATAAAAAATCCAGAGCGTGATATCTTTCTTTTTAACCTTAATTATAATTTTAAACCTTAAAAACTAAATTAAATTAATTAATTAAAAATTAAATTAAATTAAAATTAAAAAATAAAAACGCAAAATGCAGTTGCAATACGATCTTCAGATCAATCTTCGATCGGTTTTCTTTCTGAATTTATCTTCCGTCCAAATTTTAATAAATATAGCAAGATAATTATAGAGTAACCTGTACACAAGAAAAAAAAACTATCAAATCAACACTGATATACTTGTATGTATGCAAGAATATATAATCTTTTATAAGAATTTCAACTTTTAATTTTAACTTCTTTTTTATTAAACCATATAAAACTTCGTTTAACTGTATAAATAACTTTATTCAAGCAAGTTTTCTTCGTTTAACGCAATATAATCTCATTTCAAGATTATATATTGCATATGTACAAGCATATCAGTGTTCATTTGACACTTCTTTTTTTCTGTGTACGATTACATACTACAAAAAATAAATTATTTTATTTATTGTCAAGAAGCTGATTATTAAAGTAGCAAATAAACGAATGAGCTTCGATTGCAATTAATTGGGTGCGAAGTATTTGTAAGAAACATTTCGTAGATTCTTTCACGTGCGCCGACGGCAGTAAAGGATTCAACAGATAGTTAAATCTGTCTTGAAAGCGATATTGCTGCACAATAGCGCAATCAATTTCGGCAGATCAGCGAACGACAGTTCTCACAATCTGATTCAAAAGTTTATAAATTGGCAAAGTTTTCATTAGCCTTTTAACGCGTCATGTGTATACGTATTAATATTAATAAACTGTGGTATAGTTTGATAAATTATGTAATAACTACTGCGTCGGATATTACGAGGTAAAAATTATCCGAGATACGACAGATAATGCGTTTTCTATCTATTGATAAATGGAATTATCTACAACTTAATGTGCAAACATACAGGTGCTATCGGCACCATTATTCGATGCATCGAATAATGCATGCACATTCCGACTACAGTCGTTGCTAGGAAAAAAAATGAATATTTACGTTCGACCGCATTGGTAATTTTTCGACGTAGCAAGCGTAATAATCATTACGGTTAGCTATCTTTTCCAAAAGCTGTAATTTTTAGATATATGCCGATATACTTTTTCGTTATCGAGAATATCCGTTTTCACGTGCCGTTAGATAAAACACGTTTACGGTCGATTTGTCGGTTCAATGTTCGGCGAAATACCGGCAACAAAACTGCCGTTGCATGTTGCAACAACGCGAAATAAAAAAGGAAAGAAGAAAGATATATGACAATCGCGCCAGACAGAGATATTTTAATTATAGCTGGCAAATAAAAAATTCGAGCCGTATTATGTTAATTAGTTACGCATGAAGCTGAATTATGTATATAAACGTGGTACATGGGCGTGCTAGAGGGCGAGATAAACAATACTAAATTTGCATATTTACCATTGTATGTACATTACGTTCATCTCTTACATTTTTTTACGGGCACGTCGCGTCCCCTTCTCTTCTAATTTTTTGACATGTAACTCTAAATTCCGTCAAAAAAGTAGACTGAAAATATATTATAAAAAATATAAGAGAATTACGACGCGACTATGAGAAATGCTCGTTAGTTTTTGTTAATCTGATCTTTTTGAAATATATCGCTTTCGAAATTAGATTTTACGACAATAAGTCGGTAGAGGTACGTATTTTGCACTACCCCTCCCCCTCCAAACCTGCCAAAGTTTTCATTGAGCTATTGAAACAGGTAGACCGTAC